GAATCCCCTAGCACAATCCCTATCTAGTTCCACTCATTCCTACAATCCTCCTCGAAGGTTGAAGCGGCAGTGGCCCAGAGATCTTTTGTAGTATATATCTTGGAGTTCTGGCAATGGCCAGATTCTCCACTTAAAACATGAGTGTTTGTGGCTAAAGTGCTCTTTCTCAAACTCCACTAGCTTTAGCACCAGTGACGCGGTTGAGGGAATAGCGCAGGAATCTCTTAGAGTACTTCTTTTCCTTCTATGGTTAGAGGAAGAAGCCTGGCTTGGGGTTCCCTGCCTGATTGTATATAGATATGACTGTGTTTTTATGTTTTTAATTTACTTATCTTTATTTATTTTTTTTATTCTGCATATTAGTTATTATTATCAAGTCGTCTATATATTTTGTGATTAATATAGGTTTTTCAACCATTTACTTGCACATTTGTTCTAATATTAGTTTAGAGAATTTTGCAGGTTTATCCATTGGTTCATCCATTTTATTTATTACTGGTCTGAGATTTGTTTATTATTATTTAGTTATTATTTTACTTTTATATTTTCTGTATATATGGTGTGAATGTTGTTCATATATCAATATAATTATTGTCTACGAGACAGATTATTATATGTCTATATAAATAAATTTTTAAAAAATTCAATCTCCGACTCATAAAATGATCACATATTCTCCGAATATATCAACTTATCAAGTCTGAATCTTAATGTTCTTCGGCTTATTCTGACATCCCCCCTTAGATCATCCATTAGTCAGGTGAGGTCAGAGACAGATCTGACAAATTGAGCTGACATGTTCATCAGGTGCTGTACCGGTTCGGTGCTAATGGTTTTCTTCACTCGCCACATCATTTATCACCCACCATATTCCTACCGTTTAAGTCACCTTGCCCGCTTGCGTATTTAACCTTAGATTTCTGTGTACCATTTTTTACTTTCCTGCCTTTACTAGGTAAGGAAAATATTACGATTGGGTCAAATTTCTGACGTGCGATTTTCAACAGGTCTTTACGTTTCAGAGCATACTGGGTTCGAAAAACACATTTTCAGTGCATTTTTGTAAGGTTATTACATTTCCTACAAAACTAAAATATAAAACTTATATTTATAACTTATACTTAAATCAGGCGAATTTTAGCAAATTTACAATGTATTTTATAATTTGTAATTATATAAGCTGATTTTAATGATGATTAACGTGCCTATTTGTATTGCTTTAGTTCCTCAAAGAAAACGTACGCTAATTATTTCTCATGATCGGTTCCCAGGAAAGTTATTCTAATTCTTTTTTTAATGAATGTCTTTAAGTAGTATAAATTTCTCTAAATTCTTCTTTTCAATTTTTTTCTTTTTCAAAGTTCATGCAATATTGTCCATGGTACAGACATCTTTTCATCAAATTATTAACATCGGCGTGAAACTTCGTAACTTCAACTCATTGTAACCTATAACTATTTTATTTACGAAAATTCTATGAATTGGGGGGGTTTTCATTACGGAGATCGACAAACTTTGTCTATCTAATTAAGTACTGAAAATTCATAAATACTCATTTGCTTTCCACTTGAATTGTAAATCATTTGATTAAATAATCGAGAAAAAAGGTAGCGTACAAAAATATTTGATCCTTTGGCGTAAGCTACACCCCCAAAATTTCAAAATAGCGAGGTTATATAGGCCAAACGGCACAATATTTTTGTATCGATTTTTTTTCTCCATTTTGTGATCAAATTATCGTACGACCCAAGTGGAAAATAAATGGGTATTTATGAGTTTTTATTTAATAATTAAATAAACAAAGTTTGTCGATCTCTCGATTGATAACGCCTCAATTCCAAGAGTTTTTGTGAATAAATTAGTTGTAATTATGAGATGAAGCTATTCTAAGTAACCTAATCTAACCTATGCTTTAAAGTTTGCTGAAACTTACAAATATTCACATTTTTATCATATTTCTCTAACTATCCAGATAATTAAGAGTACATTTATGCTAATCGATATAAATAAAATAAAGATTTTGTCAGTACATTGAATAGAATCAACCCGTTTCATGATATCTTTCCTTTTCATAGATTACAGACACCAAATCCACATTTTAAAACGTTTTTGTTTGTCTGTATGTCCGCATTGTCCAACGAAATTTTGCCAGGAGTAAGCTCAGCAATGGCTAATAGGAGACTTTTGAAATGTTGACATTATATTTAGGTTTGCTTGACTTAAAACACAGGTTTTAAATGGAAACAAAATGTTGAATAGAACCAAAGTTATAAATTCTTGAATAATTTGTCTAGAGATCCTGGTTAGACAGTTACTTACTTCGATTCTCATCCCAACCTACTCTACCACGAGACACAGTTAAAAGTTGTACTATTCAATCGATGGAAAAAATGTTCACAACTCAACGGGAAAAATCACAAATGCCGAACATTTGTAACGCGTTGTCGCTTAAAATGCGGGTATAACACACTCATTTTTCAATCTTCCCGTTCAAGCTGTCATTCGATTCAACTTCCTGAGCCTAACAAATCTCGTATAAATGTTTAGGATTAACCGACGGATTAGTCAGAAAAAATCCACAAAATTTAACCCCGCCTCCATCCAATTTTATGAAATTAAATTTGGATTCCACATAACACAAAATCCAACCTAAAAAAAGATTTTCAAATTTTAACTATACTCCCGTCAACGACGGGTACATCAGCTAGTTCCCTATATTTTTACTACCATTGGGAACTACCTAGAGAAGATTCGAGAAAAATATATTATATTTATACACAGTGTTTGCTAGTTTGGATTTCAATGTTCCATTTTAAAAATAATTCTCTTTACTATAGAATAGCAATATAGAAGAATGGAAATAAATTTCTAAGTCGCAATGAGAATAGAACAACTAGATGACAGGGCGGTGCGGTTGAGGTTAGGTAAGAAATTTGATGGAGGGTAGAAGGTTGGCGCCGGGACCTTTCGCTCGGTCCATTTTCCTTCATCAGCCGCATTAGCCCCTTCATCTCTTCCACTCTAATGGCATCTCTTTAGCCACCTGCTCCACCTTTCGTATTCAAATTATATCTCCGGCTATGTTATAATTCTTTTTTGTTGAGAATTAAGCTCGAATGTTGGCAATTTTTTTTTTATATTTAAGACTTGATCTTAAGTATTTAAGACTTTAAACATCCGACTTGAAATTCTATATTCTGTTATTTTCCAAATCAAAATTACAAATCAGACAAAAACTAAATACACATACCTACTTTAACAGATTCAGACATACGCCTCACAGATATACGATTCTGCAAAACAGATTCACTTACAAAAACTAAAATCTTTTCAATCCAAAATTTTAAGACTAATGACAGCAGCTCTCTGGTACTTAGACAACAAACCTTTACATAACGCCATACGACAGCCACCTATCGACCAACACATATGAACTCTCTACTCATAGATTCCATGTTAAACAGACTCTATTAGAATTAGGAGGAAACTAAAGAGGAGCTGGATGCCAGATCTCCTTCCTTGATTTTCGGAAACAAACAGAGATCAAGAAGAGGTGCAGCTGGGTATTAATCCTTCCTCATGCCTCTCATTTCATTACGATCTATATTCTCATCAAATCTGCTGGTTGTCAGTCTCATGACAGGTACAGATGATGATACGAAGCGAGAAAAAAAAAATTGATCAATATATTGTCGGTTTATTGCAAAAAGTCACTAAGTACATTTTTGATGGAGCAAAACTTTTAGAACTTAGAAAGTTTTTGTGAATTTCGACCTAACCTATAGATGAAAAAAGTAAGTGCTCTAAAATGCCACAAACCCAAAATATATCAAATGTAGTAACGATACAATCAAACGATCTTATAAAAGGAAAATTCATCAATGTGATTTGAGGTCACGAAACGTCACTTATTGACTTTTTTCAATATACCGACGACATATATATGTGTGATACACTATTCTGTTTTTTTTTTTACTGGATCACTTGTTTATTGATAAATATTACAATCTGTCTCAATAAAGGATATTTATAATAGAGTTCAGAGAGCACATTCACACCATATTTTCTGTTTTTTAAATTAATTTATGATAGGCTTACACATACTTCCATTTATCTAATATATAAACTATAAAAAATTAAACTTTTTTTATTGTTATTCATTAGTTGTTTCCTCGAGTTTGTGCCCTATAGAAGTGCTGATAAAGATATTTTATTATTAAACCATTTTTAAATCTGCTTAATTAAGAGAGAACAACGAAAAAAATGGATCAATATACTGTCGGTTAATTTCAAAAAGTCACTAAGCACATTTTTGGTGGAGCAAAACTGTTTAGGACGTTTTTGCCAATTTCGACCTTACCTATAGATGCAAAAAGTAAGTGCTCTAAAATGCCACAAACCCGAATATATCCAAGTGTAGTTACTACAAGAACACGATTTTCCATTTTTACCAAAGGTAAATTCATCAAAGTGATTTGAGGCCATGAAACGTCACTTAATGACTTTTTTCAGTAAACCGATGACATATATAGGTGTGTTACAGTATTCTGTTTTTAAAATTAATTTATGATAGGCATACATATATATATACACATTCTACAGAAGCAAAAGTTTTCTGTCTCATTCATAAGATGGATCTTGTTCAAGAAGATCAACGTGATATTATATTTAAGGTAAGAGGGAATGTTTTGAAAGCAAGATCGAAACCAATTAAGTGCACTTGTTTTAGAACTTCCATTTGGGATGAGGCACTTTATAAGGCTTGGTCATCTATTGTTTACATGCTTATTCCTAATGTCAAAGAACTTGAGATATCTTTAATACAGTTTGCAAATATAATAGATGCTGATGAAGTTCTACTTTATGAACGTGCGACTTTTCTTGTAATTTCACACTATGGACACAAGCCTTATGGGGATATGCATAGGTTTGAAAAGGTCTCAAATATTATCAAACAATTTAAATTAAGTTGCAGTAAAGTAGCTGCTCTGTTTCAAAGCATGGAAGTTCGTAATTCTCAGTTTGCTGCTTTTATTGATGCATTTACATCAAATACTTATGTATTAGTTATTACATTTGATCCTAAAATTCCTTCGGACGCTACACTTATCAACATTAGAAATGCCAGAAGACATTTTGAAAAGCTGGAGAAGGAAAGCCAATCTGCCGCTATGGTGAAATAATTTAACATTCTAAAGTGATAAATAATTTTTTATAAAGACAAATATATTATATTTTGATTTGATTATATATAAACCATAAAAAATTGATGTTTTCTTATTCATTAATTGCTTCCTCCTATAGAAGTGCTGATAAAGATACTTTATTATTTTTAAAATATTTAAAACCATTTTTAAATCTGCTTAATTAAGGCTAGGATAAATTTAAAAAGCATACTCCTTGACCAATTCTGATTAATTTAGTTACTCCAACTTTATTGTTTGACCAGAAGATAAGGCGCGTGCCACCCCCGAAGAGTGCGGTCCCGGGTCCGACAAAGGCGACCCCTGGGGCCCAGGTAGCGGAGCTCACTAATGCACTACAAATTAACAATCGTTGGCCCTCTTTAGTGTCTGCGCCGGCCGTCTTTGGTGTCCCGGATCAAGATCTGTGCCTCTTCTTCTTGTTTGTTCTCTCTGCTCATTGGTTAAGTAATCCGCTAAAGGAAGCAGCCTTAGGGCTAACTGAGCATTTAAGTGGTCTACTGATGACCTCAGGGGATTTCGTCAGTGTCTGGAGGAAACCAAACAAAAATTAGTTCCAATACTGTACTCAAGTAGTTACAAAGGTGGTGAAAACAATTAATTTTATAAAATGAGTTAAGAATTGTTTTAAATTTTTTTTATTTCTATTTATTTGTTTTAGTATTGTATATTATTCTTATTTTATGCAGGGACCTTCAAAGTTACGCCATATTAATTTTTGAGGAGGGCACTTTTTTACGGCAATAATAATTTTTTAAGGGGGGGGAAGTACATATTTACGGAGTTTTTTTGTTGTTGTTTTTTAGCTTTAAGACTTGTAAAAAGCAAGTCCTATTTTGCCAGTAAAATATTTTAATTGACATAGTGAGATGAAATTACGGTTTTTACACGGAAATTACACTGGATTTATATTAATTATTTATAATTAGGAGCTCACTGAAAGTAACTTATATGGAACTTGGATATTAGATATTAGATATTATGGAAACTAGAAAGACTACTGGTTAAAAACTGAGATGAATTAGAATTAAAATTAATTGAGAATAAGTGGTGACTTTTATTATATGACTGCTTTTATGTCATTCATGAACTTTATCAAGTCACGGGCGTTATCTTTATTCATCGACCGAAGAAAGTTAGCTCCATCATCCGTAGTTTGCGATCCTGAATCAATTCTTCTTCGCTTCTCAAATCTTTTGCACTTGAAGGCAATGTGTCTTGGATCCTCCAAGCATTGGCATGCTGGGCAGTTACCGCTCTTTGCTAGACTCATTAAATGTAGATATTTATTTGTTCCACCGTGGTTTATACTAAGCCTGGTCAGCTTTTCTAAGCTGGAGCGGTCGAGATGAGATTTAAGAGTCGCAAACCATGGAACCAGTGCTATCTTCTGTAGAACTGCATGATGGTCCTTACCCTTAGATGCACATTCCCAGTCGTAGAAATGCTGCCAGTCTTTCATTATTTTCTCCCTCACTACGGAGTTATGAATTTTGGTAGCTTTCATATATTCATATGAATAAATAAATATTCTTAAGTAGGATAAATATTCAGGACGCAGTCATTATCAAATTTTTATTAGTGTCGACGTTTCAAGCCAAACGTGTGGGGCATCATCAGGACGTGTTTGGAGCACTGAAGGTATTCAAGTGTTTGGGTTAAAACGTTGGCACTAATAACAATTTTATAATGACTGTGTCTTGAATATTCATCACCTATGATATGTAGAACAGTCGACTAACTTGTCCAATAATTTGTTAAGTTTTAATTTTGAAAAAAATATCAAATCATTAAACAAGAAAAGACCACAAGAAAATGCATTTGTGGATAAAATGTAATTTTTCAACTTAAATTATACTCTTACACATGCCGGTTTTTAAGAAAATTAAATATTTTTGAAAGGGAAGCATGCGCCATACGGTTTTTTTGGAGGGGAGGGCTATGATTTAAAATTACTTTTTTAAAATATCATATGGTAACTGAAGCAACGAAAAAGTTTGTTTGCAATTTACAATGAGAGATTGACGTGATTTTTAAATAAACAAATACTGAACAGTTCAATTAATTGATTCATAATAATATCACTCATTATATTCTGTATAATTATACATTATAATGCACACTATGAAATTATTTTATTTTTATATAAACTTTGAACTTTAGAGGTTACCTCTCTGTACAAGTTCCAATATTGATCTTCACTCTCATTATCAGCGTAGTCCGATGTACATCGCATTAATTATATAAGTTATTAAAAAAAAAAAAAAAAATGGTTTCATCTACTAATGAATGACAATTTCGATCAGGGAAACGAATGCAGAAGTTTCTTTGCAATTTACGGTAAGCTAATTGCTTACCTAATTTACGATATTCTAATTACTCCAATAACTACCATTAGCAGAAAAAAATAACTAGAATTAGACCATTTAAGTTCAGATGATTTTTCATTTTGGAACTTGAGTTTCAAGAACACATGTTTAGGTGATTTAAATTAATCATAAAAACTCATATTTTTAAATGTGTGTACGAAGAGATCCCAGCAGATGCAAGAAATGGCTGGAAGAAACTTTTTCTACTTTCGGTGCCCATGTTACCGAAAAGGTTCTCCTAGTCTTACCGGCATTTTTTGATAAAGAAGACAAGGTACGTCATTGCGATTGTAAAATCATTCGTATTTTGGTGAGATTTTGATAGAAAGAACTTGTGTAGAAAAAATATCAGAATCCTTTTTTCTTCTAGAGAAGAATATATAGAGAGAGCAAGAGCGGATCCAGAATTTAATTTTTGGGGAGCTTCAGCCCGAAAGCTTTTTTTTCATATATATAACGATAATTACTTTGAAAGATACTAACTACCTGTATTAAATGGTGTTTAAGTGATTCTTGAAGTCCTATTAAATGTAATTACACGAACAATAATACTTTAACAGATAATTTTTTAATATTTTTTTCCCATAAAACAGGGTTACAGTTTACCATTTTGGAGGGAGGGCTTCAGCCCTAAAGCCTCCCTCCCTCCATAGATCCGCCTGTGATGTAGAGTACAATTCACTCTTATAATTTACAGTTTGGATACTGTTAATGCAAAAAGTCTTAGGTAACGATTTAAAGTGTTAGTTCTATTTGTGCGTAACGTGACATTTTATAATCTGCAACTGGTATAAGTAGTCAGCTACTATGGAAAATAGCAGAGGGAAATAAAATAAGTAATAAAGAAATCATAAAGAAAATCAGTTTTGACGCTCTTCTGCAAAACAGCTATTTCTGCCGACCTTTTGCACTAACAGTAGTGATATTCTTAAATAAAGTGAAATATTAACAACGAATTAACCAAAATTTAACAATAATCTTAATGTATTTGTTCCTTTTCAAATTAGAACTTTTATAAAAACAAGCAATTGAAAACATGCCTGCTTTGGCATAATCTCAGGATTCTATCAGGGTTGAATGAATGGCTTTCATAGTGCAAGTTGCAACATCACATTTATTGTGATGTTTATGAATTTCAAGCGGGGCCATATTTTTGTGTAATTTCAATTTGGAGGAACTTTAAAGCAGAGGACAAGGAGAATAACATGGAAGATACCACAGTCAGTTTAATTGTACAAGATTAGATTATTTTATAATTATACTTTCGCTCACATTTAAGGAGAGCAATAATATTTCTTGGAAGGAGGAGGGAGGTATGCTCCATCGACATTTGGAAGGGGTATGTGCTTCCCTGACATAGATCCCGATTACTTTAACATTTTTTGATATTAACATTGAACTTGAAAAAACTTCTAAACTTCCTATTTTCTACAAAAAAAAAAAAAAAAAAAACCATTCATACTACATTGTCATTATCAAATCTGTTCAGATAGAATTCGGTTTTGGGGTTCTATTAAAGCATGAAATGTGAAAGATGTGGAAAAATTTAGCTTCTCATTCTGGTAAAAATGTTTTCGTATTCAAATAAATTCTTGAACAATTTATAGTTCCTTCTAATGGATCCTTTTCAACGAGTCTCAGTAATAAATATTTGAAATACCTGTTCAAAAAGTTTCATTGAATGATTGGACATTCTGAATGGGATGATTCAATGAGCGAGTTGGTCACTAAACAAATTTAATTGAATGAGCAAAAATTTAAATTTTCAGTTTGATTAATCATAACTCATTTATTATCTAACTATAATCTATTTATATCTCAGTCGATTGGATCAATGAATGACATAAGGCCGATTCGTAATCAAAGATCAATCAATCTCAATAATGGCAGTACTTGATTTATTTATTGTAACTTCTAATATATCTAATTAGTTTAATTGGTCTATAATTTGTGAAATATAAAGACCATAGAATAATTACAGGAATATCAAAATTTAAACGTTTGACCGAGGGAGAGACCAGACGTTATGACAATTTTCTTTCCAAAATTGGGTTAACGGCCAGTTAAAACATTTTAAAAACAACATATTACAATCGTATCGGGTCCAACTTGGTAAATATGAATTTTCGCTTATTCAATTGCTTAAAAAAAAAACGCATCTTTGATTTCTCTCGTCTCTCAACAATCGTTTTTATTAGTACTGGAATCAGAGCCTAAATTGGCTACTCATTTCAGGAAAAAGTTTTAAATTGAATTACGAATGTACATGTTAAATAAAATGAAACTTGTCAGCCATTTCAGAAGGATTGCTATCAAAAATGGCGACTGATTTAATAAATATTAGATCAGTGACTTTGGAATGGAAACATGCAATACCTCGCGATAATGTGGGAGAGGTTTTAATTTATCTAACCTTTATACATGGGCTCAAAACTGTAAAAAATACTGACCACCTCTCGAGTACTTTTTTCAGCCAATGAGGCTAAGTTTTCTAAATCTTGTTTTTTTGTTCACTTATCACCTCCTGAACGGTGCATCAAAGCGACAAACGCACTCTTTAATTAATTAAAGGACGTTAAATTGTGTATCGAATGAGTATATAAACTTCATAGTTTTGTTAAGTGGTATGTTCTAGATCCTCGGTCAAAGAACGATGATTTTTACCAAATTTGTCATAAACTGAGAAATATTATTATAAATGATTCCGTAGCTTGAAAATGAGTTCTCTGAGATGAAAAACTCATAGAATAAAAGTTGTAGAGCATTGTATTATGCATCCACTGAGTAATAACATTTTTTATGTTTGGTCAATTACACCATTCGAAATTATACGAAATCATTCAAGATGATATCGATAATCCGAATCCATAGTAATCCAAAATCTTCGGTAATCCAAACAAGAATAAAAAAAAAAAGTTTAACCTTACTAACGAGAGATTGAACGGAAATGACTTTTTTTCTTAGTGCAGATAATATAATTGATTCATGTGGTAGTGTTGAAATCGTATTGTGGTGTCTCTAAAAGGAAAACATTAAAACTAATCGGTCATCCAGAAGTTCAGGAATCTCTTTACGTGTGGGTTTTGCAGAATATATCACGAATATGTCAGATTTCCGGGAATAAATTCTGGTACTTTAGGATGATCATTTTCAGAAATAATTTTTCAGTTTCAATTGCATGTGTT